CAAGGTTCCTCCCCCACTCTGAACTCTAGGGTACATATGTGGGGACCTGCATGAAAACCTCCTAAGCTTACTTTTACCAGCTTAGGTTAAAACTTTCCCAAGGTACAAATTAATTTTATCTTTTGTCCTTGGAATATCCACTGCCACCACCAAACTCTAACTGGGTTTACTGGGAAACGTAGTTTGGACACGTCTTTCCCCCCAAAATCCTCCCAACCCTTGCACCCCACTTCCTGGGAAAGGTTTGGTAAAAATCCTCACCAATTTGCATAGGTGACCACAGACCCAAACCCTTGGATCTGAGAACAATGAAAAAGCATTCAGTTTTCTTACAAGAAGACTTTTAATAGAAATAGAATTAAAGGAATCACCTCTGTAAAATCAGGATGGTAGATACCTTACAGGGTAATTAGATTCAAAATATAGAGAATCCCTCTAGGCAAAACCTTAAGTTACAAAAAAGACACACAGACAGAAATAGTCATTCTATTCAGCACAGTTCTTTTCCCAGCCATTTAAAGAAATCATAATCTAACACATACCTAGCTAGATTACTTACTAAAAATTCTAAGACTCCATTCCTGTTCTATCCCCGGCAAAAGCAGCGTACTGACAAACACAGACCCTTTGTTTCTCTCCCTCCTCCCAGCTTTTGAAAATATCTTGTCTCCTCATTGGTCATTTTGGTCAGGTGCCAGCGAGGTTACCTTTAGCTTCTTAACCCTTTACAGGTGAGAAGATATTTTCTTCTGACCAGGAGGGATTTTAAAGGGGTTTACCCTTCCCTTTATATTTATGACAGATGTCCAGTCAAGTGATCAGTGGATTTAAGTTAGTCACTCACATGAGGATCGCAACAGAACAACCAAGGCGAAACTATGTGAGGCTTCCTCTAGATTTGCAGCGAAAAGTGGGGGTAGTTGAACAGAAAGAGTGCAGTATTCTATAAAGGCTTGGGATTAAAATCTTGGAACGTCATCTCCATCCGTGATCTAAGAAGACAGTGGTGTTCTTCTGAGACAATACTCCTCACAAATCTCAGGAAGACTCACATGAGAGATGGAAAAAAGCCTACTTCGTAATGAGGGAGGATTCCTGAAGTATGAGCTTCCAGAGGAAATTAGATTAATACAGAGTATTCTCTATTTTAGTACAGGATGCAAGGAAGTCAATGTCACTTACGAAAAACATTTTTTTGCTCAGAAAACTCCTCCCCTTACTGGCAATTGTTGTGATCCCTCTTTGCAGATATTAGTTAATTCTCACTCCCACACTGCATGACACACACATGGAACCATGGAGACTGCCTTCCTGCAAGGATTCCATGCCAGTTCTTTAGAACCAGTCTTGAATCTGTTTAAAATTTATCCAGGGATCTCATTAGGGAGGTGGGGAGATTTTCTTCATGTGCTTAGGATACCCACATAGAGCTATTTAATGGACCCTTATCCCATGCCCAGTGAAATCCAAGGGCATCTTTCCAATGAGTTGACATGTCTTCAAATGTGGCCCTGGGGTTGGCAATCCTCTCCTCAAGAATGGGCCAGCTAAAGACTATGCACCATTTACATTTCTTTTAAACATTCAATGTAGGGCTAAAGAGGATTTGAATGGAGCATAGATCTCTGAGTTAGCCTGCTGCTCTGGAGGTATTTTCATTCTCCTGTGCTTGGAGCCTCAAAACAACGTCCTGTGATGGGAGTTTTGAATCCAGGACAATGACTTTGTTCCTCTTTACACCACCTAAAAATCTGGTTCTCTATTTCAAGTAATAAGTTCCTAGGCACTCTATCTTAGCCATGATGTATCTCCTTTTCATCTTTGTAGGGAAAGCATCCTCAATTCTTTACGAATGTCTATACATTTCTTTAACAAGCAGTTCTGACACCAGTTGAAAGGTCTCATGTCTTTCAATTTTAAGAGAGAAGCATTGAAGCCAAAGATTTCAAAAGTGACTGGAGATTCATGGTGCCCGCTTGAGATACCTTATAGGAAATTGGGCTCCAGAGAGCAGGAACTGAGCACATTTGAAATGCAGGGATCTTCATGGTGTTCGAAGTAGCGCACCAAGATCACTAGTCCCTTTTGAGTATCCTGGCCTTGTGTTCAGTGAGAGAAGTCTTGGTCATTGTTGCAAAATCATTAACCTCCCTTCTATTTACCTGGTAAACTTCATAGAGTCTTTTCTTCTTCCTAAAGCCCTGATCCTAGAAAGTGCTGCTGAGGGTGTAGCTAGCAGTTGAAAAAATGTGGGCAATGGTGGGGTAGTTTCTAGAAGAGAAGGACCTTGCAACCTTTGCGAAGGTAGATCATACCCTGGATTAGTCTAATTTCTGCTGGAAGCTCATTCCTCAACTATCTCGCCATGACTAAGTGGGCATTATTTTCATCTCTCATGTGAATCTTCCTGGGCTTATTTTGTCAGGAGCATTGCCCTAGACGAAAACCACCCTCTTGTGGTGATGCAGTTTCAAGATTTTAATCCCAAATCTTTATACAACAGTAGACTGAAAATCAGGGTTGAACACAAATAATATGTACCACTACGATCCTGCTTCAGTTCTACTTTGAAAGCTTAGGCGGGATTTAACTTAAGCACTGGGCATGATCTGGACCTCTTTCTAGGGGAGTATTGTCACCCAGAAGGCCTGGTATGAAGGCCATTAAACTGACTGAAAAAGTGTCAATGGATTTAAAAACATATTGTCTCAAACACATAGTGAAGAGTTGTGGCTGGGGATCCTAAGCATGCCGAATAAACTCTCCCATCCGCCAAGGAGTTCCAAGGGTAAACTCCACCTTGCTGCTAATTAGAAACTAGTCTGGGTATAATAAACTCACATGGAACTCTGTGCATGACAGCAGATTGTAGTGATACACCTCTGAGTCACCCTTATACTGTGAAGTAATTCAAAGCAGAACAATAAGATTGAAACGACATTTATGCCCGTGTTGGCACCAAGCAAGTTAATAGACTGATACGAGGAAGGTATCCTGGCCATAAAGATTTCAGATGATGGAAACTGCAGGGTGTATTGTGCATGTCATCCTATGTTTGATAGAGAATTAAGTAATTGATTAACCATGATCAAAGCCATTACAACAAAGAGAGGAATTAGCCAGGCAAAAAACATTTGGTTTCGTTAAGGATGAGGTCTCAGTGCATAAGGGGTGTTTCCTCTGCTTCCCATTGGCTAAGAATGTATATAAAAGTGCTTGGAACTGCAGGATGTTCTATCCACTTCTCCTGACTTCATCACCTTCGTGAAAGGGGTAAGTCTATTTAACGCAATTGGCTCCAATTGTTGCTTTCGTGATAATTTTAACTATGGACTGAATCCTGCACCACTACGATGTGATTTTTGATCTGTTGGAGCAGAGGGCACCTTGCTTTCGATAAGAGAGTTTCTGTAGCTTTCCAATTGAAGACATTGGTGGACGCAATCTTATAAATAGGAGGTTGTGATTTTCAAATCTTCATATGGGGTTGGGACCCTCTCATTTGCAGTAAATGGGGATTGGACACGGAAATCCCTTAGAGCATTATGACAAATCTCAGCCTCAGTCTACTTTGATTATTGACTGCACTAGTCTGACTCTTTATATATAAAAATACACATTGCCGGAACCTCAGCTGACTCCATTGGAACTGTGACTTCATCAGAAAGGTTTCAGAGTAGCAGCCGTGTTAGTCTGTATCCGCAAAAGAAAAGGAGTACTTGTGACACCTTGTTGCATCTGATGAAGTGAGCTGTAAATCACGAAAGCTTATGCTCAAATAAATTTGTTAGTCTCTAAGGTGCCACAAGTCCTCTTTCATCAGAAAGGTTTACCTGGGCTGATGACCTGACCCTACTCTTTCCATAAAACTATGGAGATCAGCTTTCATATATAACTATTGAACAGCAATGTGACTATTCTTTTCATTTTAGTAGATACAGCTCGAAGGTATAATTGAAACCAAGAGTTTTGAAGGGATATATAGGTGTTCTCCTGCAGGGAAAAGCTAGCCTCTGCTTTAGGTGTGTTCAAAAGAGAAAAAAGAAAAGGAGTACTTGTGGCACCTTAGACTAACATGGCTGCTACTCTGAAACCTAAAAAGGGAACTCACTCCATAATGGACAAATTTGTGGTAATTGTACGTTAATCTGAAGCATAATATAGAAGCAGAGTGTGATGATGCTATTAGAGACAGGATACTGACCGAGATGGACAGCTGATCTTTTCCAGTATGGCCATACTTAATTTCTTAGTGGTACAACTTAAAACCCATGTCCCTTACCTCTCAGATAATTGCCTTACCTACCAGCATAGTGTATTTCACTCTTTGCATGTACAGCGCTCAGCGCAATGGGGCACCATTCTCAGTTGTAGCATGTGGGAAAGATGGGAATTCCAAAGATCAATTCTAGCCTTACCTACAATGCGGAGGGCCTGAGTTCTACTCCCAGGTTACCTTCTAACTTCCACTGAGCATCTAGTAACGTGCTATAGGGATAATCACTCATTTTATAGGGGTTTTGTGCAGCTTAATGGTTCCCTGAAGCAGTGAAAAGGTGGCTTACTATGAATGTGCTGGGAAAGCTTTTCATCAGAGTTTGAAGATTTAAAAAGAAGGGTCAGTGGTTGGATGGGGGTGGCCTAAAAAAAAAAAAAGAGAGAGAGAGCAGGAGGACTAGCAGAGGTAATTAGAAGGAAAACAGGCCAATAAAGGCTGAGTAGATGAAGAAAAGTTCATAGATGGGACTCAGAGAAATAGGAAAGTTGCTTGGCATGGGAAGGAGGGAGACAGACTGTGCGAAGGGGTCACAGGGGTTGGTTAGACAGAAGACTTAGGGTGAATGGGTGAACAGAGTTAAAGGGAAGAAATGGGATCAGATATGGATCTTTTTTTAAATGGACCTCCTTATCATCTATTACCATATTAGACCAGCTGTGAATCTCCTATGCCACTGTGAATTGCATGTAATGTCTACTCTGCTCCTCACTCTGTGTTTCAGGTATATCACAATCCCAAAAGATGTCTTCCAGCAAAGCTCTGTGTTACCCACGCCCGCCATGTTATCCCGACATCTGCCCAGACCCATATGTTGATGCCTGGAACGAGCCTTGTGTCACATCGTGCGGAGACTCGAGCGCAGTGGTCTATGCACCGCCGGTTGTCGTGAGATTCCCGGGACCAATTCTCGCTACTTGCCCTCAAGACAGCGTTGTGGGAAGCACCTTGCCATATTTACCCTATGGATATGGGGGCCCATATGGAGGTGGTAGTTTCGGTGGCTCAGTCGGTTCTGGGGGTGCTTATGGAGGTGGATACAGTGCTGGGTATGGTGGTGGCTACGGGGGCTTCTATGGGTATGGGAAGAGCTATGGGAGGAAGTGCTATTCTTCCCGCTTTGGAAGCTGTGGTCCATGTTAAACCCAGAAGAAACGTCCACGGAACAAGAAACAACCAGGAAATGAAATAGAAGATAAAGATTCCCCACTCACCGAATGGATGATGAGCACGTACATCTCCATATGACATCATTGGGGGCTGTGTACAAATCAGGCCTATCTATATTGTCCCCTTGTTATATACTACCTTAACTTTATAGTCTAATGGTTTTGCAGCTCCTCTTGTGCTTTATCCTATTTGATGGTGAAAGGTCTACAACAAGCGCTTAATTTGATGAAAAATGGAACATAATTTCAAAACGTACAGCTGAAAGAAAAACAGCAGAACATCTTGTGCAAAATGCACGCTTTTTAGAGAGTGATTGCTTTTAGCTCCTATTGTTCCGCTGAAAATACATTCTCTGTGCTCTGCATTAATTCATTCTGCAATGTAAAGTGCACTGGTCATTCCCATTAAAAACTATGTGGCATTACATTCTTGACTTTCTGGTTTTCCTTTCTCCTCCATTCTTTTTTTCCAAAGCACTCTGGGTGAAATTCTCCCCTTTGCCGATGGTCAATACCAACCCTATGCACTGCATCAATCACACTCAAGCCCATAAGTGAGAAGAGAGTCAGGTATTTTAATTGACCAATATCACTGTCTAGGGCCTCTGCACAGGAGGGAGTTACCTCCTTGTTACACTTGTTTCTTTTAGAATGGGAATGAATAAATAAATAACTTTCAACAAGAATATGTTTCCCTGCTCTAAATTTTCTATAGAATCATAGAATTCTGTAAGTATAAGGGTGGAGGACACCTTCAGAGGTCATGTAAAGGGCAACAAAAATGATTTGGGGTATGGAACGGCTTCCGTATGAGGAGAGATTAATAAGACTGGGACTTTTCAGCTTCTAAAAGAGATGGCTAATGGGAGCTATGATTGAGGTCTATAAAATCATGACTGGTGTAGAGAAAGCAGATAGGGACGTGTTGTTTACTCCTTCTCATAACACAAGAACTAGGGGTCACCCAATGAAATTAATAGGTAGCAGGTTTAAAACAAATAAAAGGAAGTATTTCTTCACATAACGCACAGTCAACCTGTGGAACTCCGTGCCAGAGGATGTTGTGAAGGCCAAGACTATAACAGGGTTCAAAAAGAACGAGATAAATTCATGGAGGACAGGTCCATCAATGGCTATTAGCCAGGATGGGCAGGAATGGTGTCCCTAGCCTCTGTCTGCCAGAAGCTGGGAATGGGCAACACGAGATGGATCACTTGATGACGACTTCTTCTGTTAAGTCCCTCTGGGGCTTCGGGCGCTGCCCGCTGTTGGAAGACAGGATACTGGGCTAGATGGACCTTTGGTCTGACCCAGCAGGGCCATTCCTATGTTCTTATGTAGTCCATCTCTGTACACTCAGACAGGACCAAGCACACCTAAACAATCCCTGATGTGTTTGTATATCTTGTTCTTAAAACCTCCAGTGACGGGGATTCCATTACTTCCCTTAAAAGCTTAAAATCACAGCTTAACGATCATGATAGTTAGAAAGTTTATGCTTGTATGAAACCTAAATGTCCCTTGTTGCAGGGTAAGTCAATTACTCCTTGTCCTAACATTAGCGTACATGGAGAACAATTGATCACCATCCTCTCTATAACTGCCCTGAACATACATGAAGACTGTTGTCAGGTCTCTCCCTCTGTTTTCAATTTCTGAAGTTTAAACATGCACAGTTTTTTGTAACCTCACTTTGTAACGAGTGAACAACAAGCTAGTGAAGAACCCACTAAGCTAGTGATAAAGACACAAAAGGGTAAATTCTCATGTTAAACTGTTGTAATTCTGGGGTTACTCTGTAGAGGACAAAGGAGCAGTGCTGGGTTTTTACAAGTGCAAAGGAGAACAGAATCCAGACCTGTGTCTTGTACCAGAGGCAGGGCAAAGCCAAGCCTTTAATCTTGCCAAGCTATCTAGTTACGTCATGATTTTCTGAAGGATCAGGTGTTATTGGGAGACTCAGTTTTGGGCTGCCAGAGGAACATTCATGGAGTTCTCTTTTCAGAAGACGAGCGCTGAGCAATATCAGAAAGGCCCTGTCATGGTAACTCGAGTTGAGCACCCAAGACATGAGGCATCAGCAATCACTAGTCACGTCTGAAAATCTTGGCCTTGGTTCTAGTCATAGATAGCCTGACACATTTTGCTCAGATTGATCCCCTCTCTTCGGTCTCCTCATATGCAAGTCTGACTCAGTCTTTTCCCCCGTGGCTCTCCAACACTGTCCCGCATCGGGGTGAGGTTGCATACCTGTACTCGGGATGGCATGGACTTTGTGCTCCTCCCAATCCATGACAGCCAGCTTGGCACTGGATTATGGCTCGAGTTTCTCCCCGGCTCTGAGGAGACCTCTCTTTGCCTGGGACGTAGCTGCAAACCTCTCTGGCCCCGTTGTTTCATCTTGGAAAGGAGCAAAGAGCTATTCAGTCTTTCTTCCTGCTCCAGACAAAATTGGAATGTGTGGAAACCCAAACACAATTTGGCGTGACATGAAAAGTTGGCTGGTGGGCAAGATTTAGGGCAAGCAGTTGGCAAGATTTAGCTGGAGATTGGGATACACGTGCTGAATTTGCATTGTTCTGATGTTTATATCACTATTTTGTTTTGTATGTCCTGGTACATTTTCTCATAATTTTGCTGCATGTGTAGTTTTTCAAGGGGCGCACGTGCATTCAGTATTTGAGGTGGGATGATGGGAGGGATCTATATCTCCCAGCTCTCTGGAATTGAGTTGTGGATGGGACTGAAAGACTCACCACAGAAAATATCCTTGTTTCCTGGTCCTTCTCCCCTGTAGCTCCTCATGCTTCCGGTTACAGCTTCAGACACTATCAGAAAGGGAGCCTATCTCTTTATGAGCTAGTTACAGTTGAGATGAAATTTCTAAAATGTGGTTGCATAACTGGTAGAAAGTCCATACTCAAAGACGAGTGACCAGTGCTTTTTCTTTCAATGTGGGAAGCCATATGTCGCGGGGAGACATAGGAGGTACTCATGGTTCCTGTACTATGCGATATTTTCATTAACGATTTGGGTATTGGTGTGGAGAGTACAATTCGATAATTAGTGGATGACACCAAGTTGAAAGGGTCTCAAAGCCCTTTGGAGACAGGACTTGAACTCCAACTGACCTTGATAAATTGCAGAAAGGGTCTGAAATCAAGACGCTTCAATTCAATAAAGACAACTGCAAAGTCCCATACTTAGGAAGCAAATTGTCCGGCTCTAACTGGCAGCGGTGGGGCTTCGGATGGAGCATTTTGTCCGGTTTTGGGCAACAGACATTAGCACGAAAGAAGTGGACCTATTGGGGTGTGTCCAGAGGAGAGCTACAAAAATGGTGAAAGTTTTAGAATACCTGAACTATGTGGAAAGGTTAAAGAAAACTCGGTATAGTTAGACCTGAGAAATTAAAATTGAGGGAAGGGCAGGGGGGCAGTATCTGACAGCTGATTTCATGTATGTTCAGGGCTGTTATAGAGGGGATGGTGTTCAATTGTTGCCCACGTCCACTAAAGGAAGCACAAGGAGGAACTATTTTAATCTGCAGTTAGGGAGTTTTAAGTTATATATAGGCCTAAAATTTCTAACTTTGATGATAGTTAAGCACTGATTTTAGACTTTCAAGGGAACTTGCGGAATCCCTATCCCCGGAAGGTATAAAGAACAGGTTGGCCAAACACCTGTCAGGGATGATCTAGGTGTACTTGGTTCAGCCTCAGCTCACTGGGCTGCATAAGATGTACTCTTGAGGTTCCTTCCACTACAACATTACAAAGATTCTACAATTCTGTATATTATTTAGAGCAAGAAACCATATTCTAATTGAGAGTTATATATTTAGTTTAATTCTATGTGAGACACGTAACAACATGGTATTTCCTCCCTGTAGAGGGCCTGCATAATTCCATTAACCAACTAATGTACCTGATTCTTCTCTTACTTATGGATTTGAGTGGGATTGGTTAGTACATAGGGTTGGTATTGACCATCGGCACAGGGGAGAATTTCACCCCGAGTGCTTTCGAAAGAAAGAATGGAGGGGAAAGGAAAACCAGAAGGCCAATATTAAGATGCAGCATAATTTTTAATGGGAATGAGCGTCGGAGTTCACACTTACAGAATGAGTTAATGCAAAGCACAGAGACTGTATATTCAGGGTTACAATAGGAGCTACAATGAATCACTATCTCTAAAGTGATGCGTTTGACACAAGATGTTCTGTTCTCTTTCCCACACCTGCAGAATTGAAAACCGTGTCCTGTTTTTCATCCAGTTAAGTTACTTGTTGTAGACCTTTCAGCTTCAAAGAGGACAAAGCACAATATGAGCATAAGACTAAGCTGCACAATTCTTAGACCGTACAGTTAAGGTAACATGTAAGAAGGGAAGACTTTGATTGGCCTGATTTACACACAGCCCCCACTGATTACATGTGGAGTTGTAGGTGCTCCTTTTCCATTAGCTAAGAGGCGAATCTCCATCGTCGCTTTCATTTCCTGGTTGTTTCTTGTTCCGTGGATCTTTCTTTAACATGGGCCACAGCTTCCAAAGCGGGAAGAATAGCACTTCCTACCATAGCTCTTCCCATACCCATAGAAGCCCCCGTATTTGCCTCCATATCCGCCCCCATATCTACCACCATACCCAGCACCGGATCCACCTCCATAAGCACCCCCAGATCCAACTGAGCCACCAAAACTACCACCTCCATATAGGCCCCCATACCCATAGGGTAAATTTGGCAAGGTACTTCCCACAACGCTGTCTTGAGGGCAGGTAGCAAGAATCGGTCCCGGGAATCTCACGACAACCGGCGGTGCATAGACCACTGCGCTCGAGTCACCGCATGAGGTGAGACAAGGCTCGTTCCAGGCATCAACATAGGGGTCTGGGCAGATGTCGGGATAACATGGCGGGCGTGGGTAACACAGAGCTTTGCTGGAAGACATCTTTTGGGATTGTGGTATACCTAAAACACACAGTGGGGAGCAGAGTAGACGTTACACACAATTCTGAGTGCTACAAGAGATTCCGAGCTCTCTGTTTCTTGAGGCCACTTCAATACAACCCTAAATCATCTTCTTAAACCTTCCAAAAGCTTTTCTGCTACCTTCAGAGTAAACCAGCTTTTCACTGCTCAAGGCAACCATTAAGCTGGGGAGAACGCCTATGAAATGAGTGGTTATTATCCCTGTGGCAGGTTAGAGGCTCAGTTGAAGTGACTTGAGTCACTGGGTGACCTGGGAGAAGAACTCAGGCCCTCCTGATTGAGATTAATGAGAGAATTGAACATGTGAACTCCAGGATCTCCTAAATGCTACTACTGGGAATGGTCCCAGGTTGTACTGCCCCCTCTATATGCAGAGAGGAGAATATAACAAAAGTAATTATTTGGAATGGGCGG